GAGGTCAAGCTATATACAGCCTCCACTTTGGAGACAATTGAACTAGATCACTCTTTCCCCTCAATCATGCAATTTAACAGTGATGCATTACCCAATTAATGAAAAAAATAGACGTAAGTATAGTCCTGATTTTTACTGTCTTAAAATAATCAGTACTAAAACATATGACTTGATTATTTTAAAAAAACTGTTAAATGTATACTTGGAGAATCCAGTTGATGGTTAGCACTAATACTATTGACTCATAGCCAGTGCAGGATTTACATATAGATAAAATGAGCAATTTTCTGGGAAATGGTAATATTTAAGCTCTTCCAGTGCCTTATTATTTGATGAGCTGTAGCTTCTTAATGAATATATGCTGAATAAATTAAGTGATTATCAGTTATTTATTTTGTTGTTGTTGTTCAGTGATGTCAGCAATGTCCAACACTGTGACCCCATTTGGGGTTTTCTTGGCAAAGATGCAGGAGTGGTTTGCCATTTCCTTCTCCAGAACATTTTTACAAATGAGGAAAAGAGGCAAACAGGGTGAAGTGACCTGCCCAGGGTCCCACAACTAGTAAGTGTCTGAAGCCAGATTTGAGATGAGTCTTCCTGACTTCAGGCCTAGAACTCTATCCACTGTGCCACCTAGCTGCCCCATCAGTCATCTCTACCTTAGTGTAAATGAGGTGTCTGGTAAAAGGTCTTGATCAGATGGGAAGGTATGAGAGATTGGGGAATTTGAAGAATGGAGAGAGAATCCCCATGGAAGGAGGTGGGGGTGTGGGGGGGCTAATGGAACAAGCAAAGTTAGGACAGACAAACTGGCGTACTAGAAGAGAAACCACCTAGTTCACCTGGGGCTCTTGTTAAAGGTATGCAAATTACCCGGGTATCCCTCATACAAAGGGTGAGGACTTAAAAACATGGTGTGTTCCACATGGTGGTCACTCAATAAATGTCTACTGATAACGAAAAAGAAAGCCCCTTCCTTGATTAGGGAATGTTTTACTATTGATTCAACAAAGAACAGGAGGTCTCTTTCTGAAATTTATGTTGTGAAGCCAAGAATGCAACATTATGGCCCTGACTGAAGGCATTTAAAATGCCTACTATAAAATAACCTGTCTTCAATTGCCATGTATATAAAATTATTATATACTTTTAGTTTCTAAGTACATACTCTGTCTACAATGCTGTTCCATAAGTGTGTGTTGCCCGCATTCACTCACTAAACAAACACTCATTAAGCACCTACTATATGCATATGTATATATCGGATGTGCCTTGGATATCATTAGTTATTTCCTATGTATTCTCTTAAATGTTTTATTTATTGTGACCACTTTGTAATTCAAATTTGTTTCTCTGTGTCTGGGAATAATCTCTTAGCAGGAGATTCTAGTCCAGAGCCTTCTGTTTACTTGTCATTATTTCCTCTTAATCAAAAAGCCTGCTAGAGAGGCCTATGGTAAGAGGGGATTTTGTGATAATTACACAAAATAGATTGTTCAAATCCTAGTAGAAACAATGCAGCTTTCAGGCAATGTTAAGCAGCATTTGAAATGCTAAGAGAAGAAAATGTCTTTAAGATCTGTATGCTATGGCAAAATCCACTGTTTATCCCCTGTTAATGGTGCAGGGAAATAAGATCATTAAGTTCAGGGAAAATAGCTATTTTAATTATAAGATCTTTTTGTAGAAGACATAAATCTTCATCTTTTGATGCACAATCTTCACCTGAGGTTTATTTATGTTCTTTCTTTATAAGATACAATACTGTAAATGTATAGAATAAAAATTTGTCCATGATATTTTGTCATGAGAATAGCATAACCTGAGAGTGGCAAATACAATCACAGTCTCACTAAAGATGTAAAGGCACAATTCGTTTTCAATAGTGAATATGCTGTAGACTTTGGCCAGGATTTATAAAAGCTAACGTGTTTTTCAAAGCCCTGCACTGCTTATAATTCATTCATCCATTCAGCAACCATTTGTTAATTGCCTTCTGTGTTCCTGAAGCACAGTACCAGTCTTAGAATGACGTCCTTGAAGGCAGGAACTATTTTTTGCCTCTTTTTGTATCTCCAGTGCTTAGCACAGTATAAGCACTTAATAAATATTGATTGACTGATGCAAATTAAGACATGATTCATGATGCCACTGAACTTAAAATCTGGCAGAGGGCATAAAGAAGTTACATAAATATAGAATTTATTGTTCAGTAGTGTCCAATTCTTCATGACCCCATGGACCATACTGTCCATGGAATTTTCTTGTCAAAGATACTGGAATGGTTTGTCATTTTCTTTTCCAGTGAATTCAAACAGATGTTAAGTGACTTGCCCAGGGTCGCATAGCTAATGAGTATCTTAGGTTAGATTTTTTTAACTCAGGTCTTCCTGACTTCAGGCCCAGCACTCTGTCTGCTGTCTCCAAGGCAAACAGAGGTGAAGTGACTTGCCCTGGGTCATACTGTTAATAAATGTCTAAGGCCAGATTTAAACTCAGCTCTTCCTGATTCTAGGCCCTGCGCTCTATCCACTGGGCTACCTAGCTGCCTCTAACTATAGAATACTAAATGATAAATTTATTATGTTTGGGCCAGGTTAAAAGAAACAAAGCATTTTTGACTAGAGAAATTAGTAAAGATCTTCAAGGAGGAAGTGACATTTGAAATGAGGCTTGAGAAATGGATATGATTTTTAAAAATAGATGTTTTCTTTGAGGGCTGTTGGAGGTAGTCTACGGCTGTCTTCCTCACAGCCTACCCTGTGCTATGCCTTTTCAAAGAAGCCACTTATCTCAGATTGCTTCATGTCAAACTATTCTGTGCCTCTCAACCGCTGTGGAAGGTTGTTTAATAATGTGCCTTGCTTGTACATGTCAAAACACCACATGTGATGAAAACCAAATTAGATCTCTTCATACTTCTACGAACTACATCTCGTGACAGTGCTTTACGCTGTGTGCTAGAAAGCATTAGCATTTTAATAGGCCTAGATCTTTGGTGTCCACATGCTGAGAGTCTAGGGAAGGGGTTGGCAACCTATTGCACATGGCAATAATGGGACGTGAACTTGTTTTCAGTGATAGAGGTGTTGAGTGCCACAACCACGCCCTCGTCCCCCTTACTGTTTGTAAGAATTTTCTCATGACTGCTTGCAGGTCTACTTCTCACTACTTCTCACCGTCCCTACCCTCTCCCTGGCTTTTAATCAAATGAATGCTACCATTGCTATTGGAAAAGACATGTCAATCAACTCCCCTTTGGCTCCATTTAGCATCCCTGTGATTACCCAAAATAATATACCCATCCTTGGCCACCAATCCTATATGTTGTAATCTCCTATTAAAATATAAACTGTTAGAGAGCAGGAACTGTCTAGGTTTAGTATTTATATTTTCAACTACTGCCTTTTTTTTCATTAATTTTCAAGAGGCATTAAATAGTAGATATATAAGGAACCTTGGAGATCCAGTCCAACTCTTCAGTTTTACAAATAAAGAGACAAATGAAGAGCCTGAGTCCGAGAGGTTTCTATATAGTTATATGGCCAGCCAAGCCCTCTGACTCCCAGTTAAGTACCTCCTCACGTCTTCCCTATCACTAGTATCGTCACCAGATGGATTAGACCAGGATCTGGAAGCTATTCAGACATGCCTCAGCAGAGCTGGTGCTTAGGAAGGTTTCGTCATGGAGGGAGAGGTATGACAGGGAAGTGGAGTAGAGCATTAGGTGCCATAGATGGAGATTTAGGCATTTCCCCTGAGGGAAGTCCAGAGGTAGGCATGAAGTAGGTCCCCCAGCAAAGGTACAGAACACAAGAGTTCAGGTGACATGATAAGCAGATCCTGGCAAAAGTTCAGGCAGATAGTCAACATCAGGGAGGTCTTTCAGCAAATCCAAGAGCTCACTGGAGCCAGCTCCAACCGTCTTGGCTGAGCCAATGGTTAAACTTTCAGCTTGAGTGTTTACACTTCGGAAATCAGCAAATGCTAAAAATCGGAGCTTTTGATCTAGAATCTAGTGATCTAGTTCAACATCGTAGGGAACTCCAGGTGTGGAAACATTCTCCATCAATAGGGGTCTGCAGCTCTCTATAGTCTTAGTGAGTTACCTGGAGCACTAAGAGGTTAAATGACTTGCCCATGGAGACTCAATGTGTGTCAGGGACAGGATTTGAACCCAGCTTCTCCTAACTACATTGGCAGTCCTCACTATTCTACACTGCTTCTCATCTGTTTCATGTGATACACTTAGGGAGCAGGGAGCTAGAAACGTGGTGTTTAAAACTATAGATAGAAAGCTATTTAACTGAATTATTTTTAAAAGTTGCTTTAACCTAAATTCACTTATACAACTCCAGGGTTGTTTTTTGGGGGGGTTGGGTTGGGGGGGGTTTGGAACACCTCAAACAAAACAACAAATATGAATAATAATTAAATTTTTATAACACTTTAAGGTTTACAAATATTTAGCTCATTTTATCCTGACCACAACCCTGGGAGGTAGTACTCATCCTCATTTTACAGATAAAGAGACTGAGGCAGACAGAGGTTAAATGACTTGCCCAAGAAAAGTGACCGAGGCTGGATTTTAACTCAGGTCTCCCTGACGTCAGTCGCAGTAGCCCATTCACTGTTCCACCTAGCTGCCAAGTGAGAATATGAATAAGGAGGTTTACTTATTTTTTTTCTGGCCAGTTGTCTAGATATTGTTTAGCCATAGCCAAAAGATATGCCAGGTTGGTATAGTGGAAGGAGATGGGACTTTAGAGATAGTGGACCAGAGTTCAAGTCCTTATAATGTTTCTTACTAGCTATTTGACCTCAGTCAGCTCCCTCTAGTTTTCCTACCTGTAAAATAAGAAGAAGAAGAAGAATACTTTTCCTGCCTTCCTATCTCAGAGGGCCGCTGTGAGAAAGGTGCTTTGTAAACTTTACATCCTCACTCAAGTGGGAGGTAATATTCCTATTTCTTAAGAACTTCTTGTTTTGTGTTTTGATAGATGCCATGCTCTTGGTGGCAGAGAGGCTAGAGGGGCCATTCAACATCGAATCGGTAATGGATCCTATTGACGTCAAGATTTCTGAAGCCATCATGAACATGCAAGAAAACAGCATGCAAGTATCAGCAAAGGTTAGTCACTTATGTACCATAACTTAAAAACAAAGTAAATCGGTAGGGCTGCTATCTGGGAGCCAATCATTGTAAGTGTTATTACTTTGTCAGTTTTTCCTTTCCAACTGAAAATTATTAAAAAACCCCAACAAAATGGCATCAAGATGAGTAGCAATCTTTTAGTTCACAACCACTCAATCATGAAGAAAATTATTGGCTGCTAAAAAGTTTCAGAAAGCCAAAGCATGTTGACTAATGGCTCACAGTTGCGAGGAGTTTTGGCAGAGCTGAGGTTTTTTTTTGTATCAGAAATGTCTCCACATGCTTGCCCTATTTCTCTCTCCAGTAACTTCTAATTATGCTTTCATCTGGGAGATCCAGGCACAGGGATGCCTCATGTTAAGTGTAAATAATTAAACATCCCCGCTAAGGTTCAGGTTGTGACTATAGGTGTACCTCATTTAGTAGAACTTGCGGGAACAAGGCTTCTTTATACAAAGTCAGCTATATAAAACTAAACTAAATAAAACCAAACCTCTAAATACATAATATGAAGCAGGAGTGCCTGGAGTTGGCAGCTAACTGAGAGAAGAAATAAAAATGACTCAGGGCACACATCCTATTTTTCTCCACCCAATTGCAGATACGTAGAGCCAAGTGTAGAGAACTTGCAAAGCCTGTGAAGTATCCCCAGCTTCCTCTTTCAGCACCCCTTTTCTATGTTAGTTGCAATTCTCCCTCCCCCTACTAAGGCTCTACCACATTCCTGGTATCAAAATGTGGAATGAGTTACTTTGTCAATCATTTATGTTGACTAATAACCATTCACACAATTTCATCTACAATAGGCAGTGCCATTTTAAAGACTTTGACCTTAATTTTGGAATGAAATTTAGCCTTGTTCAAAGAATCTTAGACATCAGCACACAGGTGGAAAGTTGTACATCTGTATTCCTAAGGCCAACCCCAAAGTTTAACCTGGTTTAGTCATTGGGGGTGTGGATGGAGGTTGGCACAGAAGAAACAGTCCATAACATCCAGTCCTACTCTTTCTCCAGCTGCCTTAGAAAGGTTAGTTCTGGAACAAGTAGCTCTGAAATCCTACGGGAAAAGTGGAAGGACATAATAGGATGATAGAGTCTCAGAGCTCAAAGGGACCTCATTCAATCCAACCCTTTCATTTTACACATGAAGAAGAGAAGTTAAATGACTTTCCCAAATTCACATGTTTGTTTTTTTTTTAAAGTGGCAGAGCTGGGATTTTAACGAAAATCTTCAGGACATCTTTCCTCAAAGGAAGAAGTTGAGCCAGCTCGCCTTTAATGTCTCATAACTCTAAATCTGTGATCTTATGATGTCCCCACTGCCAGTGCAATGTTCTTTTCATTACATGAGCTGCTAAAAACACCAGCAATCTTTTTCTATGTGATAGGATTAGGAGAGAGGGTATCATTTTCCCATAGGAATGGAAAGAAAAGACTTCTCATAAGAACTACTCTTTTTTCTGGATGGAATCTGGGAATTTATTTTCTTGGCATCTCCTAGAATAAAATAGAGAGCTGTCTATTAAGTGAAACACATGTAGCTCCAGTTTAAATAGCTCTTACCTAGCTCCATAGAGAAAACCTGTCCAACCTTACTAAATGTGAGGTCATCCTGCCTCTAGTATACTGAGATAGATCACCTTTATTTCTTGCCAGCTGTTAATCCAGGAATGAAATAATCAATCAACAAAAAAATTTTAAGCACTTACTTTATGCCAGGCACTGTGCTAAATGATAATACAAATACAAAACACCAAAATTTCAGATGAAAGAAACCCTTTTATTAAAATTCAGAATTTAACAGGCTGTTATTTTTTGTTGTTCTAAGGGTTATGATCCTGAATTTTATCTTTTAATATTCTGTAGAAATCAGTAATCCAGAATTTTATTCTTTTTCTTCATTTGCTCCCTATATGATCACAAAGTATAATTTTTAAAGAAGTAAACATGAGGATTTACCTCCTTACTGAATGTAGTAACTGGTCCTCATTTTGAACTTTCTACTCATTTGATAAATCAAAAACTTTCTAGCTTGAGGGGAAAAAATCTATTTGATTTAAATCACAGAAATATTCTACATGAAAATATTCTTTAATTTTGTATTTAAATTTGCTTTCTACATAAGTCACATACTTGATACTACTTATTAACTAAAATCAGAATTTTATTTTGTAGCTAAATATGATCTGTCTGTCTCTCTTCCTTTCTTCCTTTTGGCTTGAAAGAATTGTTACTCAGTATCAATAAATATGCTCAACAAATTTGGTGTAGTCTGACTTTCAGATTTCAGCAAAACATCATTAACTTCTATTAGCCAAGCATTAGGTGAAGCCAGAAGCTCTTTAATAATTAGGGACGATAGAGGCATTCTGGGAATTGTACAGTTTACAAATTATGGTGGCTTTGGATCCAGGGTGTGATTTAAACTTCTCAGTGGAAACTATGATTCTAGTACTTCCTTAGAATGTGGACATTTCACCATTTTATTGAAAAAGTTGCAAAGAAAATAACTCCTCAAACTTCATTCTGGAAAAGCACTGAATTAAAATGCCCCACCTACATTGAATAAACATAGATGGTATCCAAATAATTCCAGAACTTCATTATTTCTTTACAAAAGGTTATAGTCCTTGCTTCACATCTTTCTAATGTGTCAGCTGAAGGCATTCATTTAATACTTCCCAAACTCTCCGATCTTAGATCCTGTGTATTTCTGTCCTTCCCCAGCATTAAATAAACACACACACACACACACACAAGTTTCCACCATATTAAATGAAATGGACAGCTATATCAGCTCCAGCTCCTCACTGATTACATGAATAAATGAAATTCACAGGTATATTTATTTATTTATTCATTCATTCCCAAAAATATTTACTGAGTGTCCACTATGCACCATGAAATTGATCTAAATTGGGTTTAAATGACTTTTCCAGGGTCACCCAGCTAGTAAGTGTCTGACGCCAGATTTAATCTTAGGTCCTCTAGACTCCAGGGCTGGTGCTCTATCCACTGCCCATCTTGTACCATTTTTAATTGAAAATCTCCCAGTGCTCAATGAACCCTACAGATATTTACTTCATTGCTGATAGTAGCCACCCTTGAGAAGGACCCAATGTGGCTAGATCACCGCCTGGAATGTACCGAAGGTAATATATTTAGAAGAAACATAAATCCTGCATCTATTACCATGAAGCAGTCATTTCAACCACACCCATACAACCCTCCCTGTCTTCATATTGATCTTCCCGGTTGAAGAACTGCTGTCTTATTCTCCAATCTTTGTTACCCACCCAGGTCAGGGGAGTTAAATATTTTGAAGGCTTGTTGGGATTTTTGAAGGAATTGAAGTCCTTTTCAAGAGCAATAAATCAGAACTCTCAATTCTGAGCCTGTGATTTTCAAAAGCCTAGATATTCCAGACCTGTTGGTGAGTTCCTTCCTCTCCTATCAGGAAGATGAAACTTATCTCACTAAATGTAATTTAACTACATTAGGAATAATTTCAAGGCTAATCCAGGGAAAGATTGGTTTGTCAGATATAATCTAAATTAAGGACAAAAACTTATTAAATTCTAACTGAAACTACCCATTCAATTAATGCTTATTACAGACAAGGGAAGAGCCTATTACAGAAAAGTATGATGGCTTTAAGGGGCTTAATTTTATCCAGACAGTTCTTGAGCTTCATTTCTTAGACATACTACAGAAACAAAAACCCGAGGACCTAAAATTAAAACAAAACAAAACAATTCAGAATATAGCTGTCTTTCTTCTCTAAATATACGGGTGGTTCAACATTAAGATCGGGGTGCTTAACCTGGGGATAATTAACATAAAATATTTTGATAGCTTTATTTCAATATAATTGGTTTCCTTTGTAATCCTGTGTTTTATTTTATGCACTTAAAAACATTATTCAAAGAAGCGGTCCTTAGGCTTCACCAAATTGCCAAAGGGGTCCATGTTACCAAAAAAAAAAAAAAAAAAAAAAGGCTAAGAGCTGATCTAGATCAACCTTTGAGTTCTTTCATCAAGAGACACTTTCTCTTCAGCGGAGAAAGTTTCCCCTTGATTTATGGAGATGGCTTCAAAAGAGGAAAGTAGGAAGCTGAAGGGAATTCCAGTGCTTAAGAATAAAACAAGCCCTGGAATCAAGCTGAAAACTAATGTGTATGAATGGTTGCTAACAAGAATTAATTGTGTGTTCTACCTCTTCTCTAACAAATTCTTTTGGCTAGCTAGATATTGGATGACTACAGGCCTTAAATTGCCGCATCTCTCGAAGAACTGTGCCCAATCTTGACCATAGAGACAAACTATTCGATGTGATAGGAGGAATCCATCCAGTCAGGTGGCTCCTGGCCTGCATCTTACCCAATGAAACACTGCTTGTGTTTGTGATTAGTGTCTGCTATTGGAAGATACATTGGGGTTGTTTCTCACATGCCTCCCTTACTTAAACCCTCTCCTCTAACCTAGTATAGATTGAATGAAAAAAAAAAACAGCAAGAAACCACTCCATATAGCATATGAGATGCCAAAACAATGTTTGAAGGTATTTTGAATACAACCTTCAGAAAGCTATGACCAAGAAAGAATAGTAAACTCCATGGGTTAACTGCAGAGATTTGATGTTATCTCTGCAAGCAATGCACTGAATACATTATTTTTCCATTGAAAGAGGCATCTGGGAGGCCCCAGTACTGACAGGCCAACTCATCTTACTTTGTTGCTATAAAATAAATAAATCAACATAACACTTTAATTCATTTTCATTCCATTTTTTCTTGCAAATTTAAAAGAAAAAAAAGAAAAGAAAACACTTCTATGATTATTTGATTCTTTCAAATCCAAAAATTCATATTCTTGCTGTCATGTCAGCTAGTCATTTACACCATTTGATCAGACAACTAGAAGATGGCCAAACATTTGCAAGAATTTTCTGTATTTCATTTCCCTTTTTTTGTT